AAGAACGGGGTGAAGGGTCAGGCTGCGTGTCCTTAAGCTCCTGTGACATCGCTGCTTAAAACTCGCCACCAGTTTCAATGCCCAGCCGTGGCCGCGCCTCCCGGGCACCTCTGAGGAGCTGGCCCGGGGGCCTCCGGTCAGCCCCCGAGGGCACCCCTCTGGCGGCGGCTCGCGGCCCCCCACCCCGTGGCAGGGGCAGGTGAGGCAGCGGCTGGATCTCGAGCACCTCCAGGCCGGGGGCCGTGTGGGGAGCGACGGCGTGGGGACACGGGCACGCGTGGGCCAGGGCTGCGGGGCACGGCACAGGCTGACGCAGGGGTGCTGTGTGGGTGACGGCGGGGAGACCCCCTTTGCTGAGTGGGAAGAGCCCCAGCAAGACCCCAGATGCGTAAGCTGCAGCCGGTGCGGGGGGGCCCTCCGGCCGCTGACTCCTGCCCAGCTGCTGCCCGGCCCGGGGCCCGGTGGCCGAGGCTGCCGTGGGCGGGTATCTGCACCCGTGGCCCAGGTCCTCGCAACCCACCTTCCGCCCGTGTATCCCGCCACCGTCGGCCGCCGCCATCCGCCTGCCACCCGTTTTGTCAATAAGCCGGCACTGGAGCACGGCCACACCCACGCGTCTACACCCCAGGGCCTTCCCCCACAGTGCAGTGTGAACTGTTGCAACAGAGACCATATGGCCGGAAAAGCCCAAAATATTTGCTATCAGGATCTTTACAGAGAAAGTTTGCCAATTGCTTTCCTAGAGAATGTTTCAAAATGCATGTGGTTGTGTGGGGTTGTCTCAGGGACTGAGTTGGGCCACTGCTGACACAGTTACAGGGTGAAACACCACTCTGCCGGTCCTGCCCGGCCCTGCCCAGCCCTGTCCGGCCCTGTCTAGCCATGTGTAGTCCTGCCCAGCCCCGTCCAGCCCTGCCCAGCCCTGCCCAGCCTGCCCACTTCTGCCCAGCTCTGTCCAATCCTGCCCAGTCCTGCCCAGTCCTGCCCAGCCCTGTCCAGCCCTACCCAGTCCTGTCCAGTCCTGTCCAGCCCTGTCCAGCCTGCCCACTCCTGCCCAGCCTTGCCCAGCCCTGCCCAGCCTTGTCCAGCCCTGTCCAGCCTGCCTACCTCTGCCCAGTCCTGCCCAGCCCTGTCCAGTCCTGCCCAGCCCAATCCAGCCCTGCCCAGCCGTGCCCGCCTGCCCACTCCTGCCCAGCCAGCTATAGGGGTCACACGTGGGCCCAGGGCTAAGAGGAGGAGCCTCTGCTGAGGCCTCCGAGCGGGCCAGGCCGCGCCAGGACCTCCTGTCCCACCGAGATCCCTGCGCCCCTCCCACTGTCTTGAGGCCGAGGCCTGGAGAGGCACCTCCTCCGCTCCCTTCACTTTATCTAACGTTTTCGTGGCTGCTTGACAGCTTGTCTCGCAGGTTCCCTTAGGACCTAGTTTTAGAATCAAGGAGAAGGGTTTTAAACGTTGCCAAGTCCAAGTTCACAGGAGACAGAAATACCCTCCTGGGCTCTGACTTGTCACACGTCCCCACTTCCGCGGGGCGGGGCAGGGCAGGGCGGCGGGCGCGGCCAGGTCCTGCCCCCAGGACTCCAGCTTGCCAGCCTGGCCACGGCCTTTCTGGAGGCAGGACGAGGGCCTGCCCTGCGTGGCGACCACGAGCCCCATTCCCAGTTTAACGAGGAGGAAGAAGAACATGACTAGCAGACTGATGAGGTACACTGCTGAGGGGAGCAGCAGGCGGGTCAGGAGCGGTCTGGTGCACCCTGGGGGTCACTCCCTGGCCGGGGATCGGACTCGCACTGAAGCAATGGCAGCGAGCTTCATGGTGCTGCGCTTTAACCCACTGCACCACCAGGGAGGCCCTGGAGACCTCTTAAAAGGCTAAACGTGGACCCTCCCTGGTGGCACAGTGGGTCGGAGCACAGCACTGAGAAGCCAAAGCCGCTTCAGCACGAGTTCGATCCCCGCCTGCCCCGGAGCTGACCCACAGGGTGCGGCAGACCTCTCCTGGCCCGCCGGCTGCTCCCTCAGCAGTGGGCTTCGTCGGTCAGCCTGTTCTGCCCCTCGCTCTGTCTCTGGAGAATCCTCCCACTGCCCCTGCACCCCTGGCCTGTACCCCAGCTCTGTGTGCATAAATAAATAAATCTTTAAAAAAAAAAGGCTACATGCGACCACGCCAGGCGTCTATCTGAAGACTGCCACAGTGCTCATTTGAATGCAAAACTGCACCCCCGTGCTGACTGCTGCACTGTTTGCAACAGCCCAGCTACGGAAAGAGCTAAGTGCCCCAGTGCAGATGAGGACATCAAGAAGGTGTGGTGCGTGTGCACAGCGGAGCGCTACGCAGCTGTCAAATCACGCCACGAGCTGGAAGGGATTATGCTGCATGGAACAGGCCAGAGCAGAACGCTAGACACCGGCTGGTGGCACTTAGGTGCGGAATACAGACAAGCCAAACAAGGGCCAGACAAAGGCCACCTGCAAACTCTGAGTCCTGACCGCAGATCCGAGGCACCTCGCGGTGTGTGCATGTGGCGGGGGGGGGGGTGCAAGAGGGCGGGAAGGACAATGGAAGAGGACGGGAAGGACAATGGACAGCCGCACCGCAGCCACTTCCCACTCAGGCACGATGGAGACAGCTCTGCAGGAGAAGGCAACGAGTCATCGCTGTCGCCGCTGTCGCAGGTGGGACTTGAGGGCTCAGGGTCTGTCCCTCCTCTCAACTTCTTTGCGACCCCAATGCCTGGCATGGCACAGGGTACACAGCAGGTGCTGAGAGCTGGGCGCAGGAATAAGGAAATGAGCGGCTCAGCTCACCCACTGTGGACAGTGATAGCAAAGGATGAAGGAAAATGTTCAAATGCCAATTCAGGGGCCTCCCTGGTAGCCCAAGGGGCTGGTTACGTGTCAGCACCGTGAAGCGATCGCAGCCCGCAGCACGAGTCCCACCCCGGCCAGGGAGGGACCCCAGGGTGCGGCAGACCCTCCCGTCTGCCTGCTGCTCCCCTCAGCAGTGTTTTCCGGTCGATCCACCTGTTCTGCTCCCCACTGTCTCTGATGAATCCTCTCACCCCCATACCTGTGGCCTGTACCCCAGTTCTTGTATGCGTTATAAATAAACCTCTTAAAAAATAAATAAATCTTAAGAAAATGGCATTACAGAGAGGACACCCAGCGGCTTCCAGGAGTGTGCGCACTCCAGCTCACGCTCTCGCGACACCTCTCTGCGCACGGCACCATCGCCCGTGCCCTGCAGAAATGCGGAGCCTGAAGGTCCGTCAGGCTGGAAACTGACCCGCGGTACAGGCTGGGATGCAGAAGCCCTGGGGTTTGCTCCCAAACCACAGCCCTCCGGCGGCACAGCGCAGTCCACCCCCGCATGGGGTCACCCTTTGTAGGAAGGAGCTCCGCTGACCCCCACTGACCGAGGCAAACGCAGCTCGCCTGAGAAGCGACACTCAGCGGCCAGCAGTCCCAACGGCCGCCGGCTGGCCGGCGCACAGCCACGTGGGAGTCGGCTGGACAACGGGCGGGGCAGACAGAGCCTCAAGGTGCGGCGAGGCGAGGGCACCCCGGCGGGCCCGTGGGGCGGAGGGGAAGCCCGAGTCCTGGCTTTTCTGGAAAGGCGACAGGCTGCTGCTTTGCAAACCCACCTCGAGCAGTCACCCAGCGCGCCGTCTCAAACTCGCGGCTGGAGGCGGGCCGTGCACCCACTTGCAAGCAGAGCTCAGGGTCCTGACAGCCTGCTTCGCCCATCAACCAGCGAGGGACACACACAGGAGATGGTGGAAGAGCAGACGAACACGGACAGCAGCGTGTTTCACACGCGGGTCCGCAAACCCTGCGCTGGCCGGCCGGCCGGGCAGAGGGGACCTCCGCGAGCCCCTCCAGGTGAAGACCTGGGGTGCACTCGCCTGAGGCGGCCTGGGTGCGGGACGCCCTCGGCAGAAGGCCCCGCGGCCGCCTCTTCACCCCACTGGTGACGGAGGGGACCCCACGTGGGCTGGACACAGGCCATGGACATGGGCGGCCGGATGGCGGCAGAGAGCCTGAGCTGGACAGTGGCCGGGAGAGCCAGGACGGGCCCCGCTCACGCCCTGAGCCGGCAGGAGGCGAGGCCGCTGGGAAGGTCAGGCGCCCGGCCGGGTCCTGGGGCCGTGGGAGGAAGGGCTGGCCGGCTGCGAGAATTCGGGGCTGGCGCAGAGGCGAGGCCTGCTAGGCTGAGAGCCGGGCAGCTGAGGACGGAGCTAGAGAAGGTTGCTCCAGATTCGGGGGCGGCCGGCAGGCGTGGGAGCCTTTGGGGCCTTGAGTCAAAGGCCAGCGGCCACGCGTGAAACATCGGCGCCCTGAAATTTCAGGGTGAGTCCCGCACGCCCAGCCCAGCCCAGCGCCCACCCCGCCTCCTCCTCCTCCCACCCCGCAGAGACCCCCACGGCTGCCGCCCCTGGGTCCCCCGAGCGGCAGATGCGAGCCGTGAGTGGCCTCGGCCCGGAACGCTCTGGGGTGCAGAAGCATCACGTCCGAGCTGCGTGGTTTTCTCTCCACGTGAGGTGCTACCTGCTACCTCGCCCTTCCAGCGGGGCTGCACAGGTGAGAGAGGCAGAGGAAGTGCCAGGCAGCAGTTCAAGTGAGCGCGGGAGCGGGCAGGTGTGCTTGCCCTCAGCTGCCTCATATGTCCTTGACCCCGGGGTGTTTCAGAGCGTGAGAGTCTGTACCGTCACACCGAACGACAGCAGAGTCAGTGACGCGGAGCCATCAGGCCATCCCGGGGTCCCCCCTGAGCCACTCACCTCATTTTTCTAACCCTCCACCAGCCTGGCATGATGCTGACTCCCCAAGATGACTTTGCTGAAGCTCAGAAAGGGGAAGTGTCCACGGGAGCCTGGGCCCCAGGGAGGGAGGCCGAGGGGATCTGCCCCAGCCTGGCTCCCTTGACCTCCAAGCCCAACCCCCCAGAATGTGTGGGTGATGTGGGAGGCTATATAATGTCCCCCCAAGATGCCTTGGCTTACCCCTTCCATGACAGGCGGCGTGGGTGCCCAGTGGTCACGTGGGTGAGGGAGCCCAGGTCCCAGCGCTGCACCTTCCTCCCCTGGCATAATCCAGAGCTGCTTCTTTCCGAAAGCCAAAGCCGGGGTGCAGACAGCACCCCTTGGCACCGAGCCGGCCGTTCTCAGTGGCTGGGCAACACACACCCTGCTTGTCTGCTTGTTACTGCCGCGTCCCTGCGGACAGACAGACGCAGGCCAGCTCAGAAGGCCCAGACATCGTCTCGGGCCACACGGCCGCCGCCCCAGGCTGCTGGGCCAGTGAAGGTTCTCAGCGGCCGTGACCCAAAGCAGCCCCTCCCGGGCAGCGGCGTGGGCCGCGGCTCCCGTAAGACGCTCGGGGACTGGGCCCGGACGCGCATATGTCACGGACAGGCAAACCTCCTCGGAAATATTTATGATGGAACTTCAGCACCAACCCAAACAGCCTTCACAGAGCGAACGAAACCATAAATTATTTCCAAGAACATTGTAATGCCAAGGGAACTCACTTAATTATCCATTATCCCAGAAATGTAGACATAATGTTAATTAAAATGAAGGGGGAAAGCCATTTCCATTCTTCATGAAGATTCATCGGGCTCTGGAAGAGATCTTTGCCCTGCAGGCCGGGCCAGGTGACGCAGAGCTCTCCTGGCACCGAGCAGGAGCCCCGGCCAGCACAGGGGCCGTCCAGGTTGGGAGCGGCCCTGCGGGGGAGAAACAGGTCGGGGCCCCGGCCCTTGCCCACGCGGCCCGGGTCGCCACCGTTGGAAATGACTTTCCGGCGTCTAAACGTTGCAGGCCCAGGCTCGTAAACTCCCGCTTCGAGAGCATTGCAGCTACGTCTCCCAGACCCCGGCCACACCTAGGCTAGGAAGCCCCCGCTGACCTGGAGGCCGAGCTCGGTAACTGGCAGAGGGTGGGGTGGGTGGGGGGGCAACAGACAGTCCTGTGGGACGGGGCAGCCCCAGCGGGACGGGTCCAGCCCCTCACCTCTGGGCAAAATAGGCAGCTGTGTTTCAATAGCCTAAAACTGAGGGTGCAGTCATGAAAAAGAAGTGTGCTTCCAGCTTATTTTTGCTTATTTCCCCCCAGCTTTCTAAATCACTCTGCTCTCCTGTTCAGGAATGAACCGGGTTAACCTTGGGCCTGGGGGATCGGGAGACAAGAGGGCAGAGGTCACAGACAGGCAGGGAAGGGTCACTGGAGAGAAGCCAGAAGCCAGGAGCCACCAGGCGTTCTGAAAAGCACCGACTGCCAGCACATACACAATTTGAGCCAGACACCGAGCAGGAATTACCTTTCACAATAAACATCTTCACTGGACTGTTCCCAGAACAGGGCCCTTTCCCTGAGCACTAAGCGGTTTCTGATTATCGGTTCAATCTGGATCGCTTCTGCGGCTGTAATTGCCTGGCCCCTTCTCAGGAGAGAAGCCTGCCTGGTCAGAGCTGCTCAGACCTTCCTGTGCATCACTCGGGGATCCTGTCAGAAAGGCAGATTCTGTTTGTCTGGGGGCGGGGGGGACCTCACTTCAGCATCTCCCCAAGCTGCTTGGGGATCTGATGCTCTAACCCTGACCCACCTTCAGCAGGGAGGGGCTCGACCACAGATGACAGGAACAGGCTTCGTCTCAGAACAATTTCTTGTGCTGACCAGATTTACAAGTCCAGAAAGATTTGGAAGCAAGACTCAGCTCAGAGAGCTCTGGGATCGATTAGTGATGTCTGACACGGGCAAGGCATAGAGATCTAGGACAGGAGTGCTAGCTGGGGCAGGCTGCCTGCATCCTGCCAGTTCATTGGAACCCTGTATTTAAACAGTGCAACAAGCCAGAGCAACTTGACAGCTTCTGACTTAAGCTCATGGCACCAGTTCAGACATAAACACACACACGCACACGCATGCTCAAATACCCCAATGCACAACTGACTAGAACCTCACTTTTTTTTAAATATTTTTTAAGATTTATTTATTTATTCATACATAACTGGAGTACAGGCCAGAGATGCGGAGGGTGAGAGGATTCCCCAGAGACAGAGTGGGGAGCAGAACAGGCAGATGGATGAAGTCCACTGCTGAGGGGAGCAGCGGGCGGGTCAGGAGAGGTCTGCCACGGCTTTCTGTTGAGCTACTACCACAGACTCCTTCCTGGGTCAAAGGCACACCCATCTCTGTCCCACCCTTGGTTCCTCTAACGTCCCATTCCTCTACAACGGGAAGTTGCCAGGGCACACACAGCAGGCTGGTGACTGCATCCCAGAGGTGGTCACCGTGCCCAGCTGCCACTGTGCCCCATACCAGAGTCCCTCGGACATCAGCTTCATCTCTGAGACGGCCCCCGAGGCTGGCCTGGCCTCCCATTTCAACAGCGCCCGCACGGGCCGAGGCTGGAGTAAGCACTGTCCCCACTGGGGCGGCCTCAAATCCACCTACGGGTCAAGCACGGAAGAGCAGGTTCGGGCCACGCGCAGGACTTCAGCCCAAAGAGCACGCCTGCCCAGTACCCAAACAGGGCCCGCCCCAGGGTTGCCCTGGCTGGAAACACCAGGAAAGTCATACTTAGCGCCCGCTCCCTCGGAGTTGATGGGGCGCGGTGACAGCTGGGCAGCCGACCACCTCTGGCATGCGGTCACCAGCCTGCTGTGCTCGTGTCTTCCCTCTGCAGAGGAACGATAGTCGGCCACGTCCCGTCGGGGCGGCAGAGGGGGCCGGGGGTCCCTGGCAGCGAGGGCTTGTGGCTTTCAGAGCTTGCCCCACAGTCGCTTCTTCAGAAGCTCAGACGCCTCGGCAGCCCGTCCGAAGCACAAGGCAGCCTCCCTTTACTCCGCGGCCGCTGTCCGTCCAAAGTGCGCCCACCAGCACGGCCTCTCCTGCGCAGGGTGGGGCGGCCAGCGCTGGGCGCGCCCTGGCCAGCCAAGCCCACCACGGAGAAATCGGACTAATGAACGTTCATTTGAAGAGAATGCGTATTTAAAGGCATCTACTCTGCAAACAGAAACGGGCTATTTTTGGATAATGGCACAGCCGGGCGAGCTGTGTGCTCGCAAGCCGGGTGGCCTGACTGCTTCTTAGCTTTCCTAACTGGAAAAAGTATATGTTTTCCCCATCTGCACAGAGAACGCAATGGGGCCCCATTGGGTCAAGCGTGTGGTCATGAGGCTGCCGGGCTCAGGAGAGAGACGAGGGGGGAGTGCAGAGGTGGGGGGCGGCGGGGCTGAAAGCCTCTCATTTGGACACTGCTGAGTATTAGGTCCAGCAAAGACGACTAATGAGGGTCTTTAAATGCCTAATCACAGTAAACAGGCTTCCCCGTTCAAATAAAAAGCTTCATTTATGCCGTTGGGGGCGTCAAGAAGAAAGCCACCCTTTAAATACGGGGGGAGACAGAGGTATGCCCAGCCCCCGTAATGCAGGAAGGCTGCGGCGCTCCAGCTGCGGGTGCCCTGGATGTGTCTGCAGGGGCACCCCTGCACCCCAGGCTCAGCTCCTTTCCCCCCTTCCAGTGGGGGGGGGTCTGCCACGCCCACACCCATCTGCTCCCTGTGTTGGGTCCCCACAACCGTCTCTGGGCAGCCTCCATCTCCACCTGCTGGAGAGAAAGAGCACCCTCCTTTCTGGCGACCCCACACCTGCCAGCAACACCCCCTTTTCCATCCTGAGGCAGGGCCGGGCTGTGGGGAGGTGGGAAGAGCTGCCCTCTTGCTGTTCCTGCACGACGCCCAGGCCTTGGGGTGGCGACCCCCACCCCCGCCGCCCGGCCCTGCTCTGAGGGTGCCTCTCGAGGAGTCAGCCGGGCTCAGGGAGGGGGTCCCCCGACAATCCTGGAGAGGTAGGTTCCTGCGACTTGAAAACAATAACAGGCAGCTGTGTTTCAATAGCCTAAAACTGAGGGTGCAGTCATGAAAAAGAAGTGTGCTTCCAGCTTATTTTTGCTTATTTTCCCCCAGCTTTCTAAATCACTCTGCTCTCCTGTTCAGGAATGAACCGGGTTAACCTTGGGCCTGGGGGATCGGGAGACAAGAGGGCAGAGGTCACAGACAGGCAGGGAAGGGTCACTGGAGAGAAGCCAGAAGCCAGGAGCCACCAGGCGTTCTGAAAAGCACCGACTGCCAGCACATACACAATTTGAGCCAGACACCGAGCAGGAATTACCTTTCACAATAAACATCTTCACTGGACTGTTCCCAGAACAGGGCCCTTTCCCTGAGCACTAAGCGGTTTCTGATTATCGGTTCAATCTGGATCGCTTCTGCGGCTGTAATTGCCTGGCCCCTTCTCAGGAGAGAAGCCTGCCTGGTCAGAGCTGCTCAGACCTTCCTGTGCATCACTCGGGGATCCTGTCAGAAAGGCAGATTCTGTTTGTCTGGGGGCGGGGGGGACCTCACTTCAGCATCTCCCCAAGCTGCTTGGGGATCTGATGCTCTAACCCTGACCCACCTTCAGCAGGGAGGGGCTCGACCACAGATGACAGGAACAGGCTTCGTCTCAGAACAATTTCTTGTGCTGACCAGATTTACAAGTCCAGAAAGATTTGGAAGCAAGACTCAGCTCAGAGAGCTCTGGGATCGATTAGTGATGTCTGACACGGGCAAGGCATAGAGATCTAGGACAGGAGTGCTAGCTGGGGCAGGCTGCCTGCATCCTGCCAGTTCATTGGAACCCTGTATTTAAACAGTGCAACAAGCCAGAGCAACTTGACAGCTTCTGACTTAAGCTCATGGCACCAGTTCAGACATAAACACACACACGCACACGCATGCTCAAATACCCCAATGCACAACTGACTAGAACCTCACTTTTTTTTAAATATTTTTTAAGATTTATTTATTTATTCATACATAACTGGAGTACAGGCCAGAGATGCGGAGGGTGAGAGGATTCCCCAGAGACAGAGTGGGGAGCA